TCAGAGGAATTGTTATTTGTCCATGGTCATACAACCAGTAAGGGGAAAGCAAGAAAAGATTGATGACAAGCTAACATTGTTTGAGTGTCTCTGTGTACCAGCACTGTGCTAGACACATTAATTAATTCATTCAACAAATGTTTATTGAAAATATACTATGTGCTAGGCACTAGGGAGCTCTGGTGGTGTAGTACCTAAGGCATTTGACTGCTAACCAGAAGGCTGGTGGTTCAAACTCACCAGCCGTTCCTCAGAAGGAAGACTGGGCAGTATGCTTCTGTAGAGGTGCCACCTCAGAAAGCCAAGGAAGGGTCCCTATGAGTCAAATCAACTCGACGGCAGTGAGTTTTTTTTTTTAGGCACTAGGGATACAGTGGTAAATAAGATAGGTGAAGTCACTGGTTATTGGAGTTTCCATCCCAATAAAAAAAGAAATAATTATCAAATGATAATTTAATTTCATGAGAGAAAATACAGGATGCTATGAAAGCTGTTCCAGGTGGCTCTAACCTAGACTTTGGATTTGGGGAAGAGTTCTTTGGGGAAAATGACATTTGAAAGATGACTGACGGGTAAGTAGGAATTAAGTGGCTAGAACAGGCAGTGGAGATTCTAACATAGGCAGTGTTAAGGATTTGGACATTGCTTTATTAATTCTCACAATAATTTGTATGGATTGTTACTACTTTTTTAATTCTTCCAACAACCCATTAAATAAGATGTATTGCATTTTTCAATTGAGTAAGAAGAGGTGTAGCGAAACATAATTAGTTAAGGAGCCAAGGTTTGGGCCCGAGATCTGTGCTATTTGAAACATGAGGTTTGACGTGGTCTCCTATTACACCTGTTTTTTTTTTGTTTTCTTCTCTTTGCAGTGCGGAAGGCAGTCATGTGTCAGGACAGAGCAACGGCCGAGACCCTCAGGCCTTGGCTAAGGCTGTACAGATCCACCACGATACCCAGCATACAATGTATTTTGCCTGAGAGTCTCAGAAAAAGAACCCAACCCATTTGGCACCCCATGCAGCCTCAGAATGTTTCAAATGCCTACCGCCTCTCAATAGAGTCAAGTTGACTTCAGGTGGTGTTCTACCAGCAGCTCGGAATAGTTGCACTGAATCTACACTTCACAGCACTGTCTGACTCATCGACAAAATTGAGCCATTTTTTAAAAGTAATAGATACTCATAGATTATCTTTTCTGATGCACTGGACTGAATTTTTACCTCAACGCTCAGAGGCTGACCAGCCTAAACTTTCTAAAGAACTTTACAGGAAAGGTTTCTATGGAATATTTTGCTAGCTGTGGTGTTTACCACATCCCTGTAGTCTTACAGGAGAAGATTATTCCTTTTTTTGGTATTCATCGAGTGGGGTATATGCATAAGTGGGAGAGACAAATCAAACAAGCTACGTCAGTTCAGTGTAACTATTTAATTGTGTAGGTCCATAGACTTTTTAATGGAGATTTCTGACTTCACCACTGTAAATGCCTTTAATGAGCATTAATTTTTAAAAGTTTTACAGAGTTTTATTAGTTTTACTACTTTATCTTATTGATCTCTGCAGACTTGTGCTGGTGCAAGTACAGGCTGCCAGGCAATTGCACTATATTTGGCTGCAGATTCCGACAGGCAGTTTTCTTATTTAGTTGACTTTTGTGAATGTGTAACATAAACAGGTGTCATGCATGTCATGGTGACAGATAACACTGCCATGGTAAAAGTACCTATGTCTCCCCCTCTTTGAAAAAAAAAAAATTAGCTTTTAGTATTTTTCCAAGTTTTCAAAAGTGCCCATTTTATGCTGCTGTGTGGTTTGTTAGATCTAAATGATTTTTAAACTTTTCTCATAGAAAGTTAACTTTGGCAATAAACATTTTTTAAGGGCCCTCCTTTTCTTCTCCCCAACAGTGTAGTTTTCTAGATGAGATTTCGGTATGATTTTATCAGCTATTTCTTATTCATAATATGGCAATTTCTGAAACCAGTCAGAAAAGACATGTATTTCCATGCCTTTTTAAAAACTTATTTTTACCTGTTTTATAGCCACAGTTGGTGTCCTGTCACTTTGTTTAAAATAAGCTAGAACCAGGATGCTTCCTTATTGGGTAGGCTTTGCCAATCCTTAAGGTACATTGAGTGATGCTGCAACTTGCAAAAATGTACCAGCATTTTAAAATTACTCCCACCCGCCAAGGAATCAAGGTTACTCACAATTACTTACTGTAAATTTTTTGCTTCTCTTTCAACCCAAAATGTGCTTGGTGGGGTTTTCTCCTACCTTTTATGAAACTAAAACTGTGTGGAAAATCTTGATTTTTCTTAATAGATTCTGGATTCCACTCACAGGAAGATGGGATTCCTTTCTTGTCCAGACAAAGGGAGTTAAAATCATCAGTTAAAATATAGGGGAAAATGTATTCTGTATTTGTTGTTGTTGTGTGCCGTCAAGTCAATTCTGACTCGTAGAGACCCTATAGAACTGCCCCATAAGGTTTCCAAGGCTAAAATCCTTATGAGAGCAGATTGCCAGGTCTTTTCTCCCACAGAGCAGCTGATGGGTTTGAACCTCCAACCTTTCGGTTAACATCCGAAAGCTTAACCATTGCTCCACCAGGGCTTTTATTCTGTATTTAGTGTAAATAATACTTTCTGAATGGACAACAGTTACATAGAGTTTTGGTAGTTCCAACCAGTGTTTCCCAGCCCAGATTGGACTGATTTCTCTCTCATGGAACCTCAGCAGTGAGAAATGAAGACGGAGATTGAAGGCCTGGAGTTACCCTCCATATGGCTGAGAAAGATGCTGAGGGAAGAGACGGGCACAAGGTGGTAAAAACTATTTTGCCTCTTCTGTCTGGAGACTGCTGGTAGGGAAACACTGGCTCTAATAGTGAGGGGTATTTGCTTGAACTCATTAGCTGGTCCAAATCTCTTAAACCAGCCTTCTCAAAATCCCAGCAATATAAAGCACTGTTTTTCTCTAGTCTTTTAACAAGCTTGTAAATACATTGAAGTTTACATTTCCATGTGCTGTTGATCAGAGGCACCACCAGTGTTTGCGGAGACCGGTCTTGAGAGCTTTTTATGACGTTCGTTGAGCCCTGTAGCTCTCTAGGATGAGTGCAGATGTTCTTATCCTCTGCAGATAGTGGGATGAAAGCAAGCTCTGTGACTGAGGCACAACATAGGCAGGAGCGAAGAGGTGGCAGGTATTCATTTAAGATTTTCCTGTTTGGGTTTTTTTTTTTTTTTTTTTTTGGCAAATACCTCACTTGGATAATACAAATCAGGACATGTTGGTGAGGGGCTGGCTGCTGCTTTTATTCATACTTGTTCAGGGAGAGCACAGAAAAGTACCCTTCAGTGTGGCCACTCTGTACCCAAGAGAAGGACAAACAGAAGTGTTTTTAGGAGAAGGGGGACTTGCTTGAGTCCAGGATGTCAAGAGAACTCTGCTGGCTGGCTGGCTGGCCAGCAGCATCACACCTGCACTTGAGTGCCTCAGGCTGGCTTGTTAATAACACACTGAAGAAACTTGCTTCTCACTATCACCTGGCGTGTACAGAGCCAGGAGCAAAGGCGGAATGCTGGGAAGCCGATTCACTGGCCTGCGGTTGGGCTATACATTCAACCTCGGAACAATACAGTTTGTGGAACCTCAGTCAGTCCTAATACATAGGGGCAAATCAGTGTAGCGGTGGAGGAAAAGCCGGGAGGCCTATTTTTATAGGAAAATCGTACCATTAAGGGTGCAATGCTGTCATTTTGGGATGAAAGGAAAGAAATATGGAAGAACTAGAATTACTGGGATAATAACTTGCTGAGGGGTGAATCTTTAAGAGGTTATCATTGCAAAATCAGAGTTGCAGCAATACTATTGCAAGCAAGTCTGAATGCATAGTTTTAATTTAATTCGGCTGGACAATTTGAATAAGTAACCTCTTGAAACTAACTGAATCGTTATGCATGTGTCAATCAATGGGAGGTGTGCATTCTCTAGAAGTAGTTTTAGGGTGTTCGGTTTTTTACAACACAGCCTGTTTAGGCACTGTCATGTGGTGTGAAAGATTTAAATGTAGCAGTGTTAAAGAGTAACAGTTTGGGGAGAAGGAGCAGGTAAGAGAGCCATGCTGACCCAAATGTTGAATCAATCATGTTTTGTTGTTGTTAGCTGTTGCATTTTGAAAGGATTATAAAAGTGAACTAGCTGGTTTAAAGCAGCCAGCAGTCTGGGCAGACAGAATCTATTCATTCTTACTGTAAGTTCTATTTGCTGCTTCCAAAGGTACTGATTTACAAGCAGACATGTTCTATATGATCTGTATTTTAGGATCTGGTGCCCAGCCTATATCAGAGCTCAGTTACCTACCCTTCCAATGGGAAAAGGTAATCCTTGTGCAGATATACTGTTTAACAAGGCTCACCCTCTCTACCCCACCCTAGCGACCCTTTGTGGATGTGCTGTAAGATTTTCTTGCTCAATAGCAAGGTGGTAGCTCTGCTTTCATTTTAAGAAAGCGGAGACTAAGGGCATTGTATCAATACTCTTTCAAATCCAAGGATTTTTCCTTGTAAAACTAAAGGAAAGGTCTTGTTATTGATTAATAAATTTCTTATCCCTTGCTATTGACATATTCATGCTCTTTCTGTGTCTAGTGGCTGATATGTTTGCGTTTGTTCATTTGACTAATGGTGTAATTTTTGTTTCTATATTGTTAGACTTGTAATGTTTTAAAATGTATTTTATTAAATTTGGACTGGGTGTATGTCTCTAGCAATACGAGGTACTTTCTAAACTATTAAGGGAGGGATTGTATACCCATATTGAGATAAGATGATGGTTGTTTAAGTTTTGGATTTTTTTTTTTTTTTTTTTTTTTTTGGCCTGCAGGGATATTTTTTGTTCATGTGTCAAGAAGAAAAAGAATAAATTGGCATTCTTGTGCCAAAAGTTGTTTTTCCTTGTCAATTGCCTAATAAATATGGAGTACATGGTAATGGCAACGCATGAGTTAGTTTTTTTATTATTTAATTTTTTAAAAAAATGTATTGTGATTTGGGTGAAAGCTTACAGAGCAAATTCATTTTCTGTACAGCAGGTCATACACATTTTGTTTTATGACATTGACTACAATTCCCTACAGTGTAACAGCTCTTTCCCCACTTCCTTCCTGCAGTTTTCTCTTCCCTGTCCTTCCCTCCCATGCACTCCCACCCCCAGAGCTATCTCCCAGTACAAACAATGCCCTTCTGTTCTCCCAAGATTGATTGCTTCAGGGAGTGTATCTACCTGATGTCACCCTATATGCCTGTCTATTGTTTGGCTGAAGCCACAGGAGTGAGTTCAGTTCCAGACTTAAAGGGTAACTAGGGGGCCATAGTCTCAGGGGTCTCACCAGGCTCTATCAGAGCAGCAAACCTGGTCTTTTTTTTTTTTTTTTTTTAATGATTTTTAGTTTTGTTCCACATTGCTCTCCCATTGTATCCAGGATCTCCTCTGAGTGGTTGATGGGGTAGCCGGCCCCCATCTAGTTCTTCTGATCTCATGGTCATATAGGCTGAAGATCATGGTCTACTAGTCCCTTGGACTAATTGTTTCCATCTGACTTTGGTTTTCTTCATTCCTCTTTGCTCTGGATGAGGAAAGACCCATCGTTGCATCTAGATGGCTGCTTGCAAGCTTTGAAGACCCCACTCACTACTCACCAAAGTAGGATATAGAACAATGTTATTGTGTGGTATGTTATGCCAGCTGAGCTTGATGTACCCTGCAACCATGGTCCTGAGCCCACAGATCCAACTACACAAGGTTGCTTTTTAAAATCCATTTCCTCCTATAGGTCACATATTGAGAAAGAAGAACTGTGGGAAAACATTGTGTTCTTAAATCCTTGGTCTCCCTATTTTTAGAAATTGTTATTTGAGAATTTTAGAAGAGCTTCTTAGCAACACTTCCTATATGAAAATTTTTACAAGATT